GAATCATGACTGGGCAATAAGTTACATCATTAACTCACCTGTAGGATTGGATATAGAATCATGACTGGGCAATAAGTTACATCATTAACTCACCTGTAGGATTGGATATAGAATCATGACTGGGTAATAAGTTACATCATTAACTCACCTGTAGGTTTGGATATAGAATCATGACTGGATAATAAGTTACATCATTAACTCACCTGCAGGATTAGATATAGAATCATGGCTGGGTAGAGATGACCGATGTCGTATTCTAGAAGATACAGAGAAGGACTATAAATTTAGCATATTTTTAAAAACATAATACCGCGAGTAGGAGATTGAATGCACTTGGTTTGGTATACAGAACGCTAGTGTTACCAGTTGACTAACAGAAAAATACATAAATAAAAAAATTCTCTGGATTAGAAAAAAATCCTCCCCAGTTAACTCTGAAACTTGCTGCTTGCACGATAGTTTTACTTTCTAAAGCAGCAAGTTTTTTTTTGTTTTTAAAGAATTAGATTTTAGTTAGAAAGATGGTCGGCAGATGGGGTGTAATTATTGATCGAGTTTTAAAGAGGGTAAGAAATATTTATTTTGGAATTAGAGTTTTTATCGTATCTATAGAATCATTATTTTAAACTTTCCGTTGTCCTGTCTCCTTAAGTCTCCTGGTGGGTCAGTTGTAAGTTGACGAACTTACAACGCTAAATTCTGGAGTTCGATTCCCTGCGTTGTACGGAGTACATATCACCCATTGTTTAGTTTTGCGTTAAAAACAATAACAACAGCTGTCTTCTTGAATATTATTTAAAACTCTGTAGCATGTTTCAACTTATGGATTAATATTGCTTTGAAATGGTGCTTGCTAAGATTTCGGTTTATCTTTACTTCCATTTTTAGCTAAACCTAAACCTTACTTAACCTAACCTAACGTAACTTACGTTAAACTTAAGTTAACCATAATCTAATTTAACTAAGCTAAACTCCACCTTAACCAAAAATAACTATAATCTAACTTAAGTTAATCCAGTCTAAAATATATTCTTAACCTAATAGCTAAACGAAGCCTTAACTTAACCTAAGTTAACTTAATAATAATAGAGTTCTATCAAAGAACTAAGTGTCAGATTCCTTTGACCTAAATGTTCAGACCATCCACAAAACTTGTAATACTAAATTCTAAATGATGACGTCATAGTGTTTACCGATATATCAATATATTGGAGTTAAGTACGTTATATTAAAACAATGTTGGAGCCTTAACAGGCCATCACACTTTATGCTGCCATGCTTGGCTGTGTTCTAACTGACGACAGTGCATTCTGACAATGGCTCTGCAACATGGTTTCTAATGCAAAGTACTCCGTCATAAGGCTGTCTTGTCCAAAACATACAACTCTTCCCGCAAACTTTCCATAATCCATATAGTGTATGATGACGATGGCTTCCCAGTGCCAGGCTTCCAACAGCTTGATCACACAGAAATGTATTGACACTGTGTCGGACTACTGGACTGGTATGCCTTTGCATGGAATATTGTGAATACCCATTTTATTATACAACTACTTTAGGTATGCTACGGTTGAAAGGACATGTAGTGAAAGAAATTTGTGTACATGTGACTTGTGTCACTTTTCCAGCCGGAGATCTTTCTTGATTATGTTGCGAACACATAGACACTTTTGCCACTGACATTTTGATTGTTGGTTCTCACCTGCCATAAAACAATGCACTTTGCTTACTATGGCTGGGGCACGACTTGTTGCAGGTCTCTTTCTTGGTGGTCCCGGGGTTCTCAAATTGATCCATGTTCTTTTATTTTCCATAACAATTAAGTGTAAGGGATATCCCTCATCTTGGAAATTCTAAATACTAGATCTGAATACATCATTATACTCTGAATCTATGAATATTTTGCGTCAAAATAGGCTGCTACATACCCTTAAAAAAGGATCAATTTTGGATGGCATTACATGAACGAAATGCTAAATAATTTCAACATGTAGTCCACATACATGCCATTCCATCAAAATTTATAGCGCAAGTTTTTCCAAATCTGAAATAAATTCCATCGGACGACGTGTTGTTGTTTTGTATCAAAGTTCGAAAGAAAATACAGTAGAATAATGTTTAGGAAGCATATCGTGAAAGATGGACTTCAGTTTCAAGTAGTTTCTGAAAATGCTCACCTAACTCTATTCAACGGTGTTATGATGGGGAAATAATCATATTTTCTTGTAAGTAAACTGTTTCTACGAATACCTCAGTTTCAATAAAATTTCACAGAGTTGGACAGACTGTATTACTTGGACAGTTGAGTACGTTACTCTAAAAACAATTTTGAATATGCAAATCAATAAGCCACGTGACAACCACAACAGTCAGGAAAGCTGACATTAAATGAAGCACGCAAATAAAGCATCAGTTGTGTCGTTCCTGAAGTTGAGTCTTTGTTGTACATTAAACTGCGTGAGTTAGCGCGTGCGTACTGAAAAAAAAAAAAATAACTTTTCGGCTGCACTTACTTGACGCTGAATAACATAATCTAGTATAAAGTAACAGTTTATTGACACGCAAAACAAACAGTTTAACAGAGTGTAAGAAAACAAAAACAATATAGAAGGGGTAGCTCACGCTACATATAAAAAACAAAGATGAAAACAGTTTTACCAGCCGATCAAATCGACAGAACATTTTAGATAAAACACATCTTTTCTGTGGTTGAACTTAGTCCTTTAAACTGATTCGTTTTATGACCTCAGTGTTTAACCTTTAAGAAGACCAGTACGATATTTTAAAATTCATGGTTATTGCCTTTTAAAGTAACTTCATACGCCCGCTTATCAAGAAAATAATTTATCCAAACTTTAATATTTCTAAACGATTGATGCTGACAAATATGGCGGGAAATGTACCTCCATTTGTTTTTGTTAGAGCTCCGACACACGAAGCGCCCCCTACGAAAACCTTGGTATTTCTCTTAACATTCAGCTTTGGAACTTGTTTACGTAGTTTCATGACGTCACATTGAAATGAAGAAATGTTCAAGATATTTATATTGTTGACCAAACAAAACGTCACGTTCGATGTTTTAAAACTATCATTGCACTAATGAATGGAAGCCATTTTCTCAACTTGACACAGGTTAAACCAGGTCACAGATGTCTAGGATTTAGACGTAGTCATCCCTAATTTAGAAATGCTAGCCAGAGGGGAGAAAACCGGCCAACAGCACCCTCCGCCAATTATACAGCTATGAAATTGACCGTCACAGTTCAAATGACCCTCCTTCCCAATAGCCGAGAGTTTGGAGCTGGCATATCGCAGTTCGAACCTTGGACCTCTCAATCTCCAGCCCAACACGCTAATTACTAGGTCACGCACGTAAAGGTTTGTTTGTTTGTTTGGAATTAAGCACAAAGCTACACAATGGGCTATCTGTGTTCTGCCCACCGCGGGTATCG